CTTCTTATTGCGGCTCCTACCGCTCAAGATGTACTTGTTCAACGCAATCAGCTTGGATGTACTAACACGAATTCCTCTGGGCGATCCGTCTGATATATTTTGCTTTTGTACGAGACTGGATGGACGGTGGCTAGTTTGGTGTGGCTTGAGCAGGTCAAGCAATGGACCACAACAGTCATCATCATGATGCCTGCGTTTTCGACATAAACTGACGCCAAACCCACATGCTCCATTATGCTTTCCCTTAGCTACATCTTCTTCTTGATTGGAGGATAAGTGTTTTTGATCCTGCAAATTATTCAAACTATCCTCGAAGAGTTCTTCGTCAGAAGATTCATCGGTCATATCCAGACGTCTGGTACCGAATTTCAAATCGTTGATGATATTGTCTTCGGGAAAGCTGATCAGCTTCCTACTGAGCATGATCGGAGGGACTACGATGGCGAAGAAGAAGGCCAACCAGCCCCCTTGGATTTCCATGCACCAGCCTTTATCAATGGCATTCTGGCAGGGCACTGTGCTAATGAAAATCCTTAGGTTGGCTGAATGCGCCAGATCTAGGCAGGTGTAGCCACCCCAGTACTCAAGGTATCGGTTTAAGAATTGCGCTTCCGAGATCTGAAGGGAGATTGGAAGATTAAGCAAAGATAAAGGAAAAGAAGTAACCAGCAAGGCAACGATTTAGTTTAAATTAGCTAAACTTAGCTAACCCTAAATTAGCAGTTAGGGTTGTAGCAACCAACACCGAGACATAATTTCTCCAAGAAACTGGAAGAACAGTTTAAAATATATCCATGCACTTTCATCCGAAATCAAGGTTCCCTTAATAAAATATATCCAGTCCTAGTCATTGTGAACCTAGTGCTGCTAAGATTGAGTGCGAAAAAAAAAACAGAGCTTGCGGTACATCTGCTATTATACCATATTTCCAAAAATGCTTAACTGCACGCCAATATCTTCAGCTCACCCAGTTTATGTAGACAACCTGTGACAGCAACTCAAAAGTATCATTGAACTATTTTTCATTTATAAGTAGTATTTCAAGACTAACATTAGATGATATACATGAGATATATTCATAATATTTCGCTGAGGGCGATAAGGGGACTGGTAGTTGAATTTTTTAACAATGCTATGAGTAAACATGACATCCCATTGAATTTCACATAGCCCTGCTTTTCCAAAAGTTATTCCCATTCAGTGTAGACTGCCGTTTCGATTTCGTCTAGGCCTTAGCGCTGCACTAGCATAGTTCGAGTCCCGCTGAGAGTGTTGATTAGACCTAGGCGAGATAGAAACTACAGTTCACTCTGGATGAGGATGACTTTGGGGAAAGCAAGACCATGCAGAATTCAATGGAAACGTCTTGTCTACTTGTATTATTGTATGAAATTCAAATACCAGTCCCCTTATCACACTAATCGCACTATTATGAATACACCTGGTATAAATAAAAAATTTTGAAAAAATAGGTGTCTTGAGCATAAGTGTCCTTTACGATCTCAAAAAGTGCAACTCATCAAAAAATGACGCTTTGGCTAGAACGACTGTAGCTTAATTTCAATTTACGAAGCTACCTCCTGAATTAAGCATAAAATGGGTAAAA